TTTTTTTTTTTTTTTTTTCGTAATTTGCATTATATTAGTAAAGGATTGCTCGAGAATGATGTCTGCGAAATGGTCGACTCGTGGTAAATTCGACAATCGATCTCGTTACTCCTGTTGCGGAGAACGCCAGGAATAGCAGGCGATAAATAATGTCCCTCGGTCGCAGTCGCGCGATATTTTGAAGGTCGTTATCGATCCTTCCTGCAGAACCAACTCGATTAATCGGTAAAGCGGAGCACTTTTAAGGTTTTTCGATCAAAAAGCTTGCCGCCGTCCGTTGCATGCTATTGAGGCTCGCATAAATATTAACTAGAAGCAATTCTACGGCAGCATGCCCTTCGTGACGATACCAGAAAATCATTGAAGTCCATTAACATCTGAAATAACTGATTATGGCAGATCAAAAGCTTCAAAGCGGCAAATAGAATATTGATTACGATCGCGTGCTTCATTTTTTATCGGCGGCAAATTACATTCCAGATGTTTATTGTTATCGGGAATATTTTATTAAACTGACTTCATCCATATTGAAAATAAAGATATCGAAATGCTCTGCATATTTACGTGACAGAGTTTTTTTTTTTTATATAACAATTACAAGATAAAATCTTAAGTTTATCACATTTCTCGAATAATAAGTAAGAACTTTGTACATCTCTCGATAATGATCTTGACGCTGAAATGTGAAATATAACTGATTCTAAAGGATTGATAAACTTCGTCCAAGAATCACTTGACAACAAAATGCTTTGTGGCAAAAAGGCCGATCAGACAAGTGGCAAAAGTTTTAAGTAATTCAGACGAGAAAAAAAAATGAGTAATGCACATCTAAATGTGTTCATATCGTATTGACTTGCATCGATATTCATACAAGACTTAATGATTAATACCGACGTTATGTGATGCATCCATCGCGCTGTTATCGTTCTCGTTCCTTATAGTAAGAGCTGCTAAACGCGTCGCGAGTTGCTAAACGCGATTAATCACCAATTATCTGGTTCCAGAAACACAACAAGGGAACGAGCGGGAGGAACTTTTTATACAGAAGCTACGACAATGCTGCGTCCTCTTCGACTTCGAGTCCGATCCATTGTCGGATTTGAAATGGAAGGAGGTAAAGCGCACTGCCCTCCACGAGATGGTCGAGTATGTAACCAAAAACAAAAATGTTATTACCGAAGCGATATATCCCGAGGCGGTGAATATGGTAAGTAGCATTCCGATATGCTTTGCGTAAGAGATTATCGCAAATTGCGCGAAATACTTTTTGCCTATTGAGAATGCAAGATCAAGCAATTAGCTTCGTATAAAAATTTAGATGAACTTTACACGATAAAAAATATAATTGTAAACAGAGTAATGAAAAAATAGACGATAATATTGAAGTAATTGAGAAATGAATATAAGATTAATTATTAATTAATTAAAATTAATATAAAAGTATGAGAAATATTCTTGGTATTTACATTGCTTTATATTTTGGAAAAAAAAACATTTGGATGAAATACATGTAAAAATGTAATCTAAAATGTTTTTCTAGGAACAAAGTTGAAAGATTTATTGATTTTATTTTATTGAGACGAATGAAATATTTGCAGTTCGCTGTGAATTTGTTTCGAACATTACCACCATCATCAAACCCTAACGGAGCGGAATTCGATCCGGAGGAGGATGAGCCGACGTTGGAGGCGGCTTGGCCGCACTTGCAGTTGGTCTACGAGTTCTTTTTACGATTGCTGGAGTCGCAGGACTTCCAGCCGTCCATAGCAAGGCGCTATATAGATCAAAAATTCGTGCTGCAATTGTTGGAACTGTTCGACTCGGAGGACCCGAGAGAAAGGGATTTTCTTAAGACAACGCTTCATAGGATTTATGGAAAATTCCTAGGGCTCAGGGCATACATTAGGAAACAGATTAATAATGTTTTCTACCGATTTATATATGAGACGGAGCATCACAACGGTATCGCGGAACTGCTGGAAATCTTAGGAAGGTAAGTGATAGAAGTTTTAAGAAGAACGTAATGCAAAATTCTTGAGACAAAATCTAATTATTAATGTTATTTCTTTTGCAGTATTATAAATGGCTTCGCTCTGCCACTAAAAGAAGAGCACAAGGTGTTTTTGTTGAAAGTCCTGTTACCCCTGCATAAAGCTAAGTCATTATCCGTATACCATCCGCAACTGGCGTACTGTGTCGTCCAATTTTTGGAGAAGGATCCGTCGTTGACGGAGCCCGTGATTAGAAACCTGCTGAAATTCTGGCCGAAAACACATTCCCCCAAAGAAGTTATGTTTTTGAACGAACTGGAAGAGATCCTAGACGTTATCGAGCCAGCTGAATTCCAAAAGGTTATGGATCCGTTGTTTAGACAGCTAGCCAAATGCGTGTCGTCGCCGCATTTCCAGGTAAGCACGACTTTGTTACTTTGTTTCGTGCAAAGTCACATATGCTCGCTTGTTGTTTCAGGTGGCGGAAAGAGCTCTCTATTATTGGAATAACGAATACATAATGTCATTGATATCGGACAATTATGCCGTCATCCTACCGATAATGTATCCAGCTTTTTATAGAAACTCCCGAAACCACTGGAACAAGACAATCCATGGTTTAATTTACAACGCTCTGAAACTCTTCATGGAGATGAATCAAAAAGTATTTGATGAGTGCACAACACAGTACTATCAGGTATGTTTGTGAACTATGACTTGTATTTTCAATATACATATTGAATCGCTGAATCATGCAGTCATATTTGGCATTAAGAAAATGAAAATGACAGATCACTATGTTCAGAATTAATGTTTAGAGTTGAATATAAATTTAAAATTCTAATCCTAAAGCTGATGATACTCACAATACTACATTGACTTGTAAAAATATTCAAATATAATTTTTTTTAAAGTTGGAAATATTTCGATCCAAAACTTTGCAGGAGCGTCAAAGAGAACGAAAGCTCATGAAAGATCGGGATGAAGCATGGATGCGCGTGGAAGCGCTTGCAATGAGACATCCAAATTATAACATGGCAATTAAAGGTACAACGAATAATACATCGTACATGTCAGCACAACATATAGATAACTCACCTCCCGACGAAGATGGCGACACGGATCAAACTCCGCTTACTTTGGAGAAGATCGAAGCTAAGGCCAATGAGGTATTTATGAGAATTGATATTTATAGAAGTCAAATTCTAGTTTTCACGTGCCGAGGAGAGAAATTTTGATGTCTCGTGTAAATATTTTTCTTTTTGTCACACAGGCGAAGAAAATGACAAATGTAAACAAAGTGAAACCGCTTTTACGAAGAAAGAGCGATTTGCCACAGGACTCGTACACAATGCGGGCATTATCCGACCACAAGCGTGCCGATGAATACCTTGTCACGCCGCCAGATCCCAATAATTGCTAGTCTCTACCACAACCTCTTCCCATGTATCCTTTGTTTTGCTGTAGCAACATTGGAAGTTAGCTTTCTTTCTGGGGGGGGAAACGGCGATAAAGACGTAAACACGATTTGATTAAGAATTCTGCTGTGCAAAATTAATAATATCGCATTGTTGTTCCAACATATATCACACTGTATTTGTTTTCTTTAATAGAAAGAAAGAGAAAACCCTACCCTTCCGTGCATCGTGCGATTCAAAGAGGCAGTGTATAGGTACACGTAGGAGCTTACAAAACAGACTTCGTTATAGAAATGCGTTGTATTTATTTCTTCATTCACGAGAGAAAGAAAATTGCAGCTGAGGGTAATTATAATAATCACATTGTTATATAAGAAGTGCATACAGTAAGCGAAAAGGGCCCTAAATACATTACTCATAGAATCTCTACCACCGGTGGCACTTTGGGGTGCTACCTTCTGCTACGTCTCAACAATAAGATAATACATGGATAATGTATGTAAACGACATAATTAATGGATACTGCAGTTGTAACGGGTTTGGTATATTCTACAAGAGATTTTATATACAGATGAGGATATATGTGCGGGAATGTGATCGAAGATTTAAACCATACGCTCGATGTTGTAACCTACACCTATCGCGCTATGCGAGCTTGTTGTGTTAACAATTTTGCGAATGACATTTCAATTTATGTGCAAATGATATATACATATATAAATATACGTACTTGCTTTAACACTACAGGCTCGTTGTAGTAAGAAGATGAAAAAAATAATATAAGTAAAATGATGATGAAAAAGAATACACGCCGGTGCGCGTTATCTTTAGGATGTATATGATAGTGCTATTTTAAAAATAATAGATTGCTACGAGAAAATCTGGATACTTCTGAGTGTACTACTTTTGTATCTGTTGTGCCTAGATGCCTGTGGAATGCATTCACGAAAAAAAAAAAATATATGCCTCCGCGCGGGGCCTATGTATTACGAACAGCAAGATTAAGCAGCGAGTTTACATGTCGCTTTGCCAAATATAATCGATATTACAGTATTTCAGTAATGCTTGCATAAAACATGTTGCGTTGTTAACTCATTGATCTTGAGATTAATTGAAAGATTATACTGTTGCGGCCAAGAAAATAGAAAGGAGGAGAATAAAAGACAAGAGAAAGAAAGATTGAGATACATTTAGTCCTTGCGCTGCTAACAGATTGTTACGTTAATAATCGTCGAGGATACCTTGTTGAACCTAGATATGATAAGCACTTATATTAAATATTAGAAATTAAAGCTCTACGGAGATAGATTTAAAAATTATTTACTTATTAATTATTCCTACTCAAGAGGAATGGCCATTTCAACTAATTGATCATTAATTAGTGATATAAATATTATTATCATTATTAGTTATTGTATTATTTTTAGTAATGAGACGAATAATGACGAAAATAGGATAATAGTAATAATATAGTAGCTGGTACATGCGGCATGCCTTGAATCTGTTTAATCTGTCCGAAAATCTGCGTTTTTCCAGATTAGATTGATAATAAATAAATCGCGTAATTTCTTATAGAAAAGAATCATCACCTTAGGACAAAAAAAAAGAATTATTATCGTACGTTGCATGCAGCAACTCGAAAAAGACATCGAATCAGATAGTCTACGCGAGTGCAAATGTGCGCACCTGCAAAAGCTTAAGTCGGATCATAGAAAGTCGAGAAAAATAATAATAATAGTATAAATAATGCCGTTATTACAAAAAAAATTTTAGAACTATCGGATCGTTTCGTAGATAATAAAGACACGTTAACCTTGGATCGTGCCGTGGAAGTTTTTTCATGTGTATCACGTGTGAAACATGATGAAAGATATTTCATCCGCGATCGTGTACTTTTTGTTAATAGGAATCCAAACAAGAATTGAAACCGATAGAATTTCGCTGAGTTTAAATTTCGATGATGTGGGCATCAAAGTTTCCGCTGTGTTCAAGTTTGCTGCATAATTATATAATCTGATCATGTTTACTTGAGATGAGACTTGCAATGATTGAAATAATTTCTTTTTACATATTTCTAGCATTGGAAGTTAGACTCGCCAAAACTATACCGGTTTCAATCTTTGATTTAGATTTCCATGCAGACTCGAAAAAAATAGTCTTTCTATACTTTTCTCGCGCATCTACAACATTGGAGATTAAATTCGTTGAAATTATATCGTGTTCAAATCCATAAGTTCAAATCAGAAGTTGAAAATATTACAATATTTTAAGCGCAAAATGCTTTTCATCCATGGCTTTCGTGATCAAACGTATTAAAAAATTTTGAATTGAACCTACAAATGATAAGAAGAGACCCCGTTGCGCGCAGCTTGCATTTCACATACTTGTATATATTGTGTAAATAATATAATTATTTTTGAAAGCATATTTTTAGTTCCAAAGCACGTTAGTGTTGAAGAAATTGTAGCAGGCATTTTTATTCGAGCATAGTGCTTTTATATTCTAAATATGTCAAATTTTCTGTAACATTTACCAAATTGATTTCAATTGTGTTTATCAAGCACGATAATTATTTAATACACTGGACAGAAGAATCAGCTTTTTCCAGCTTTAAAAGGAAGAAGTTACTTCTATGTCTAACTTTATCCGTGTTTAGACAAATGTTGGGCAATTTTATGATTTAGCAAGTTCATAATGCATGTGTGTAATCACTCTAATGACATGTGCGGGCAATATATATATAAAATCCTTTAAAAAAGCTGTCACATTTTGTGTATAAATGGCTGCAGTATTATACAATATTCGTGCCGCAATCTGAATTGAGAGCAATGAAGGAGGGAAGAAATATCAGTACCGCATAGGCGGTAAAATTTTTCTATACGGATAATTTCACTAAGGGCATCTCTGTTGTAACAGGATGTGATATTTAAATTAATTTATGTTAATATTATTAATCATTAAAATGCATTAAAGCCACACGAGAGGGAATTCGCCAGTTTTAAATGGGACTCTGGTGCTCTCTAATTAATAAATAATTTCGTTATTCATGCGTTCATTGAACATCATTCGAGCGATGATCGATATTTCGTACGTATACGTATAATCTTCTGCAATTTGTTAAAAACATAGTTTTATAGCAAATAAAGAATTACAAGAAAATAACACGGATATATCAGATATTGCAAGTGCCCCGACCTTGATCAATGGACTACTATGCATTACTAAAAATTAGAACTACAATGACCTGATAATATTCCAGTAAAAATGTTAACATTGCCAATATTTAGCTCTATGTATCTGGGATATTATACAATCTATGCAGTTTATTCATATATTTAAATGATTGGCAACATTTTATGATATTATATAATATTCAATATTACAAAGTTTTTGGACAGCTTAGAAAAATGATTTACAATCCCAATATTGATATTCTTCGTCATAATAACAATTCTTAATCATTTGCAATAAAGTTAATGCACAAGATGTAATTGATTTTCAACAATTAAGGATACTGACAAATGTTGACGTAGAATATTGTTATTAGATTACGTACATATGTAAGGAACAAAAGCTTATCCTCCACATAATTTTTACTTGCAAATCTTAATATTGCGACGTTTCTTCTTGTTATAAATTTTTCTTGAGAAAGTGTGTTATATATATCAAGTGCAAAAAAAATCGTGATCTTTAGAACTTATTGTCACCAAACGCGGGTGACTATCAGCTTGACGTAATGTTGGACATACGTGCGAATATATTACAGCACATGCCACGTCATATTATTAATGACCGCACGTTTGTTTCAGTAATTTTGCTCGGTTTATCTGTAGAATAGTGCCGACTGTCGTGGAATGAACGGGAATCATGTGCAACAAGATATTGCCGTACTTCGTATCTGGAACTGTCATTAGAGGCTTCGGTAGAGGTTCCAAGGCACTCGGCATTCCGACAGGTATCCTTATTCTATAGGATATTCCGAAATGACTACACCAGTCATTATTATCAATTAAACAAAATTTTAAAGAAATAATTGAATGCTGTCAGAACATTGTGACATGTATTGTAGCAATTCATATAACGACATGTGGTGCAATAATTCATTTGTTTCGTTATTAAAAAGTCGGAGTTGCGTGCACGTTATCGATTTTTCTTTTTTATTACATTTAAACTCTCGTCATTAACATACAATCAATCTAAAACAGATCTTTGTGAGCTGAAACTATAGGTTAGGATTTTCCACAGTTCTTGAATCATACACAAATTTTACTTGTACTTTCTGCACTTTATTTTTTATTCTTCTCTCTCTCTCTCTCTCTAAACCTAAATATATTTGTCATATAAAACGCAGAAAACATAGAGTGCATTTTTCTATACGCGTTTTCAAAATTTTTTAAAACTCTTAGATTTTTTTTATCACACTTCTTTATATTTTTATTAAGAATGCAGTAAATAATTTATATTCACGTTGATAACAGTTAATTTTATATATTTCATATTCATATAATATTTTTTATTCAATTTTTGTTTTAAGAAATTGAGATATTTTATTATTGTTTGTAATTAAAATTTATATTTGATACTTAATATTAAAGGAATTTGATAGAACTTATATATTTCTGCATTTTTTGTTTGCAAATACTAGCTAATCTCCCAGAACCCGTGGTTAACGCCTTATCAAAAGATTTAGATAATGGAATTTATTACGGTTGGGCCTCTTTGCGTGGAGAAGTTCATAAAATGGTAGCAAGCATAGGATGGAATCCTTATTATAAGAATGAGAAGAAATCCATGGTAAGAATAATAATATTAAAATTCCAATAAAATTTCTTATCAATTTCTACAATTTGATTTTGATTAAATATTATATATATCTTATATTTATATTATTATTTAAACAGAATAAAATTAAGATTTAGTACATCAAGAAAAATATTCTTTTGATTATTAGATAAAATTAATTATTTAATTATTTTGCAGGAAGTGCACATACTACATAAATTTCAAAATGACTTTTATGGTGAAGAACTTAAGGTGATTATTGCTGGATATATACGACCTGAAAGAGATTTCTCTTCCCTAGGTAATATACATTATCATAATAATGCATAAAATATGTGTAAATGAAATTCTAAGCAAGTTAAACTGTCTATTGTACGACTTCGTATTACTTATTTTTACAGAGGAACTTATCAAAGAGATAAAGAATGACATAGCAATTACGGAACAACAATTAGAAGAGCCTGTTGCAAATAAATTAAAAAACGACGATTTTTTAACGACTAAGATAAATAATTAATAAGATAAATGGCTTTAAAAAATGTTGATTTTTATTCTTTATATATTTAAATCTTCATACATTTTTATAATCTTACAAATTAAATATTCTGTTCGATATTTTAAAATTATATTTTTATAACATAATAAAAATAAAGTTAATAAATATATGTGCTGGTGATTATGAAAGTGATTGAGTGAAAAATTTTGAAAGATTGATTTTATCACTTATTTTGTGTTACATCAATCTATAAAGTCGAAATATATGTATTTTATACTCCACTTTCAGAATCATACCGGCACATATTACTTCTATACAAATATGATTATATTGATCTACTGGATCCATTGATTATGTGAATCATTGATTAATATTTATATTGCTAAATCAGGTACAACTTTATATGTCTTATATATAAAATGGCATAAAAATCACAAAGGCGTTTAAGACACTCATTTCTTTCAGGCAGGGTCGGATTTTGGCATAAGCAATATAAGCAATTGCTTAGGGTCCCGCGCCAGCAGGGGCCTCAAAGGTTCCATACAACTAAATTTCATACAAGTATTAAATTGACGGAAAAAATTAAAAAGGCTCTCTTTAAAGCCAGTGCTTAGGGACCCCCACGATCTAAATCTGGCCCTGCTTTCAGGTTTACTAATTTTTTTATTTTTTTCCAAATTACTCATAAAAATGTAGAGTTAAATAACAAATCAAAATCATAAAATTTTATTTTGAAAACTAATTAAATTTGTACAGTTAGAAATGACAATTTAAAAAAAAAAATTTTTTTTCCATATAAAGTTTAAGTAAATTTCGATTATTTCAAAATTTTTTACATATTATTTATATTTTATATAAATTAATCATATTAATCATATTAATTGTAGTTATTATTTACAAAAAAAAATAATCAATCAATATAGAAGTAATAGAAATTTTTTTTTTTTAACCTTTTAAGCTCTTTACCTTAATAAAAATTTATTAAATCCCTTCATGACTTTTGTGTCACACTATAATAATAAGATGAGATAAGATACCATTATCAATATCAATTTTAAGAATAAAATATCGTATTGTTTATTAAAAAAAAAGGAAATATTATTTTTATCAATTAGATCGAGACGTATTAGTCGTTTGAAGCCGTTGTCTTCGTCGAAGAAGGTAACGAGAATGTAGGTAAAGATGAAGGTACGGAGGATGATAGTGATGAAAAAGAAGTGGGATGTGGAGAGGACGGAGGTGAGTCACCTGGAGGAGGTGGAACAGATACGAGCGGACAATTAACTAACGGAGATAGCCATAGTTTGGTCCTTTGCAATGACATCGGTAATTGTGCATTTGGATACGGAACCATATTCCTCAACAATGGTGCATTTGAACATTGAGAGTGATTCATCAAACGTGGCGGTAATATTGAGAAAGCGTAGTTTTCATAGCGATTTGTAGGATATTGATGCGTATTGTGTATTGGGAAATTTGGCCGACCTTGATAATATTGGCTCGTATCGCCTGGATGCAATCTATTAGACGCAAGATGTGAACCCGACTGCCGATATATGTTATTTTGTGCACATTCCTGTTGCCTATCGTTATAATATTTGTAATTAGAACGATTGCTATTTCTCCGAAACAGTTTTTCGTTCCTCTGAGATTGGGCGTTTCTGTTCCATGGATGATTTGATTGCCAATCACGCTTCGACTTCTGACTAGGGCCTAAAAATCGATTATAATATAATTCAATTATTCGTAATAAAAACTTGTAGTAAAACTAAAAAAAAAAAAAAAAAAAAAAACCCCTTAACCTGACATACGCTGTCGTTTGCAAGGTACGTTATTGTCAGTTGTGCTGACATTTGCAGAACCATTTTTCTGCTTTAGCTTTTGATAATAAGCCTGTTCTTCCTCATCGTCCGAAAATTCCGGCGGCTCGTCGTCGCCGACAGCATCGCAACCTCTTATCCTATGGAAAAAATGACAAATATGTTACAATTACGTTTACAATCACGGTCAAAGTTTAATATTTGTGGAGGTACCAACTTGGCCAACTCGTGCAAGAAGACAAGGACTGTATGTTCTGTTTTCGGGCAATAATAAACCAACATGCCTGCTTCAATCTTGTTTTGTTTTATGTGTTCGAGATTGTTGAAGCGAATGCAGTAGTATGGTTCACTTACAGATCCGAACACATCGAATATTTTACCAAGTGTTCTTTGTCCTTTATCCAGAAATAAAACTGTCTCCAGATTAAGTGTAGGTTTGCCAGGCTGCGGTTTTACAACGACCAATTGTTCCACAATTTTATCCACCTAGATCGTTCAAAAATATATTAGACATAATTTATACATAGAAATTATTACTTGTTTTTATGACAATTCATATTTTATATCTATTTATATTTCTTTATATAACATTAAAAATGTTTAAATTGATTACTTCGCCAAATAAATAACACGAATCTTCGGAAACGTTAATCTGTAAGTCTTCTATTGGCGGAAGCTCATCAAACTCGTTTTTCATTTCCTTTGAGTTTTTTGCTACGTTTACTTTATTGCCCATCTCCTTGCTAAAAACATTTAACATATATCCAGAGTTTGTCTCCATTTTTATTCATGTGAAAAAGATAAAAAATACTTGTACATATTGTAATTTTAATTTTATAGAAAGATAAGTATACCTTTTATTATTCTTTTTGTTCTTAGTAATAATATCTGAATCGCTGCTATCACTGCTATCACTGCTATCACTATTCTTATTATTATTACTGCTGCTAATAGATTCATTCTCACTGTCAGTTTCTTCGTTTGAAGATAATACTGTAAATGCACGATATTCCTGCAAAATATTTGTTTGATTGATTGGTATAGTAGATTGATTTTCAGTTTCATCAGTTTTATCACACTTATTTTCATTTGTGTTTATTTCTTCATCTGAATTATATGCCAAAGCAATCATGTTAAGAGATGTTTTATTATTCTCTGCAAAATATGAAAAATATATACATATATTTGTGTATAAACATGAGTATATAACAAGTACATAAAATCATATAAAAATATTAATTAAAATATGTATTCAACTTTTACATGATTTTAATTATGTATATGTGGATATGTACAAGGTGTCCCAATAATCCTGATACAACCGAGAAAGGTGATGATTATTTATGAAAAAATAAGTCAAAATTGCAGAATAAAGTTTTTATATATGAAGTTTTCAAGAAAAACTTTCTGAAAATTTGTCAGGTACATGTGCAATAGTACATTTTTATCTTTATTTTATTGAAACTTAGGAAATAAAAAAAAGTCATTGTCCATGTATACAAATAAAAACACAAACAGAAACAATAATCTCATCAATACATGACAGCACAGAGAAGCTTTGTTTTGTCATACAAAGGAGCATAAAAGACATCCTTTTCACTTCTACATAATACAAAAAAAGAATCCTTTTACTTATACCAGAGATGGGAATTAGTTGCAACTTTTGGCTCGATTTTCTGATTGACGCCTCCTGCCTCCTCCTTGCCGCTCACATGCTAGCAACGAGTCACCAAACGCGCTAACAATGCCCGTAACTAAGATGCGTGACACTCAGCCTCAGGAATGTCCATATCACAAATTCAACAAGATAATAAATATGGGACAATAGATTTCCACATCACCTGTGAGGTACTATTATTGACACGTTCTTCAACAACAGTTGCAACTAATTCCCATCTCTGCCCTATTCCATAAGATTTATAAGACTGCAAAATTCATTATCAAAAAAATGTGTAATGTTCAAAATACAGAATAAAGCAAAAGTTTTTGTTCAATAAATTATCATTTTACTTATACAATTTAAGTTACAGAAAGAAACATATTAGTTTTGAATGAAAAGTTCAACGTGGAGCACAAGCAATCTATATGGCAAAAAACATTAATTTATGTAATTGATATTAGTAGTAAATAAATATTTATAATACAAATTGATACTTTTATTTATAAAAGAATACATTTATGAAGAAATGTTTATAAACAGTTGTACTTATGTTTATCTTGTATTTGTAAGAATGATTCCATTATGTTACTGATCTCACTTATTCTCATAAATATATTAAATGCCTTCTTTAGAAAATTTATTAAATGGTTACCTGGATGTGTATTTTCCACTGTATTTGTATCATTTGACTCAATTTTTAAAGATTTCTGTGAAGCTTCCTGTCCAATATGAGCTATATTCTCATGAACAATTGTAGTGGATGTATTAGCAACTGCTTGATCATTTTTCTTTGAATTTGATTGAGTATGATTGAGTTGATCAGCGATATGTACTGTATTACAATCATTTTCTCCGCTTTCTAAATTCATACTCTTTTCATCTACACAAATTTGTTTTACAACCATTTCACTCTCTTCTCTTAACATATCCTTATTTGGCGGCATGCTTACTTTTTTTTTAATTTATCTTTCGATTTTTTTCAATTACTTTATTCAACTGTAATTTAGCAGAGTTTTTTAATCAAATTTAAATTTTGCTGATTAATTTTTATTTCTTTGTACAATTATGCTACTAAAAAGTTAACAATACTTACAAAGTTGAAGATAAATAACAACATCCACGTGCGACATATGCACAATGATGTGGAAAATGTGGTTAGGGCGAAATTACAGATTCTGCTTTTTCGCGCATGCGCAGTGCGACGATAGTGAAAACAGAAAATACTAGAATTCGTATACCAATATTTTCTAATCACACCACTAGCTCTTACCAAAATGTATCTGTCTGTTCAATAATTTTTTATAGAGTACCACAGCATACCACAGCAACTAGTATTTTTATTCGTTATTAATACAACTAAATAACTACAAGTAAAAAATAAAAAGCGCTTATATGCTTAAAAATCAGGTTTATTTAAATGTAATTATTATTTAATAAATTAAATTTTAAGTACTTATTACATGTTCTATATGCCAACAGATGCCCCAAAAACAACAAATGCATAAGAGAAATATTTTTTGTTTAAATATATCTATATTTATCAATGTCAACTGCAAATATGTTATAAGAATTTTTTCGAAATAATGCATTGTTTATTTTATTATAAAAAGTTTTTGGCAATATGCTAGACGAATTTGCCTATTCTCTTGTTACTATATTTACGATTGTATGTATAATTTGTTTGCCTTGTTGATGGTTTAAGAGATTTAAAAGAGGGTCTTTCATCTTTTGCTCTAATAATTTGGCCAATTCTATTCTCATCCGTTGCAAAAGTAGCCCCAACTGAAAACATATTAGATCACAGTTATGCATATTAAAAACAGATATTTAACTTTCTTGTCACAATTGTGTAACTTACACTGTGGGATTCCATTGTAAACATAATCCAGCCACGATCTAGGCAAAGCATATACATTCCATTGTGTAATTCCAAGTTTAATTCGTAACCGGAGAACAATATTAAAGACAGAACTGGGATCATGGACACTTCATTAATGAAAACTTGGCTGGTTTTCATTTTCTCTTGAAACACCAAGTACGGACTCGCAAAATGTCCGACATGAAAATTCACAGATGATGGATGAATATTGACGAAACCGTCGTGCGTTTCGAATTTCAACTTCTCCGGTTTAGGTTCGACTGGAATAGCACCAGTTGATTGCACTCGGAAAGATTTTGCGGGTGAAAGAACCTTCGCGACGTTAGGATACAATGCCGCACAGAGAAGACCCTGGAGTAGCTTGTAATTCTCATTATTAGTATTCAATTCAAGTCCAGTAATGTCCAAAATCCTATCGAGATTGGGCTGTCTCTTGGGCAAATTAACAGGCACGAAACCGATTGACACTAATAATTCCAAAAACTGGTACTTTATGTCTGCTAAAGTATGCAATGTTCGCACAGATAAATAATTTTCTTCGGCAAATACTCTGCCGGCGTAATTACTGTGCGAACAGGCAGTTAGCCATTTCTGTAAAAGTAAAAATAGAATAGAAAAAATATCTTAAATGTTACTCTCAATTATCAGAAATAATCTCGCAGATATTTTACCTTGTAAGCCTTGAGAATAGTCAGCTGATCTGAGTTAGCTACGGAGAATTCTTTCTTAGGATTGATCTTTTTTCTCAACTCTGATGGAATGCTAAATGGGCTTTTGTGCGATAAGCATGCCGCGATAGTAAGTGCGGAATCCAGACAGCAAAAGATCGTACCGAATAGTATTAATTTGCCGATTCGTACATTTACAGGTAATTTAGCTAGATGATGACCGAGCGGCGTTAACACGTGTTCTGAATTAAATGCGCCTACATCCTGCAAACGTGTGATCGCGTTTGTAATATCGTCAGTCTTTGGTGGTTCCAGCGTCTTTTCTGTTGAAAAAAAAAAAATTCAAGAGATATAGATTATTATTTGGAGAACAAGAGTGTAAAGTAAGTATGATAAAAATATGAAAAGAAATCTTACCTAATATATTGTGCAAATCTACTTTCTTTCCCCCATGCATAAGTTGGATACGTAGAAGCAGTGGTTCCAGAGAAATTCTTAGTATTTCCGGTATTGGTTGTGCCTCGAGATGATATTTAAATCTAGAAGATTGAATATATATGCGTTATACATATCATGCATTACATTGTATTTGATAAAAATTGTATGACACAGACCTGTTCGAGGTATACAAATGAATACACACTCCAGGCATCACTCGACCGGCACGTCCTCTTCTTTGCATAGCATTCGCTCGCGACACCCAACGAGTCTCTAAACTTTCCATATTCTGATTCGAATTAAACCTCGTTTCTTTCATCATTCCTATATCGATCACGAAAACACAATCATCTATAGTGATAGACGTTTCAGCCAAATTCGTACTGATTACTATTTTACGGACACCCTTTTCCGTTTTTTTGAATATAAGACTCTGCTCCTCGTTAGACAAACTTGAATGTAAGGGTAAGATAAGAAATTTAGTTTTTGGCCACTTATTTCCGTTCTCACATAATTGATTACACAAAGTAAGAATTTCAGCCAAGCCAGGTAAAAATATCTAAAATATTGTACAAGATATAACAATACATATTATCATTGTGCAGGAATAAGTGGGTGTATTTACTAATTATATGATAAAACAAATACTCACTAAAATAGAACCTGTTTTCGGATAATCATGTTCACCAAAAACAATCCACCCTAAAGTCTCCTCTATTAACTCAAAATTAATCCTTTCATGATCCATAACATATAAATTTTTATATGTCTGCTTAGAATAACCATGATATCTGCTGGCAAGTTGTATTAATGTTAAATTCTCATCTTTAATCGATTCTTTGGGAGTGTTAATGCGTGCTCCCTCGGTGTCGGCAATCTCTAAATCGATCAGAAGTTGCTCCCAATCCATCTTAATCTTACGAGTAAATTTAGAATTTTCTTCAAAAACGTATTTTGTTGTTTCGAATATCTCTTCGAGAAACATGTGTTTCACTGGAAAGGTTTTTCCCGGGATATTTAGAATCGGTGTCTTTTTGAAATATGAGGAGAAAATGTTAGCTTCAAGCGTCGCGCTCATCAGTATTATTTTCAAAGAAGGTCTTTTCGGTAGTAATTCCTTCAAAAGCATGAGTAGAAAATCACTAAAAAGAAAAATATAACATGTAATAGAATAAAACAAGGAGAAAGCAAAAGAAAGATAAGAATATTTTACCTCTCAGCGCTTCTTTCGTGCACTTCGTCGACTATAATGTGAGTAACGTCTGACAATTCAAGATTTGCTGATAATCTTTGCAATAATATTCCTGTAGTACAAAATAACAATCGTGTTTTACTAGACATTTTGCTCTCCAAACGTATCTGATATCCAACAGTATTTCCTATCTTTTCGTCTCTCTCAGCCGCTACACGCTCCGCAAGTCCTATAGCGCTTATTTTTCGAGGTTGTGTGCATATTATATTAATATGAGATTTAATTTCTGATTGTGATCTTTTAACAATCCAGTCATCCAAAATGAACTGCGGTACCTATAACATTTTTTATTTTGAGATTTGCATTACTTTCTTCTTCACGCACATATTACATTTACATAATTAATAAATATTAAAATATACCTGCGTGCTTTTGCCACATCCTGTTTCACCAGAGATAATAACAACCTGATTTTTATCTACAGTTTCTAAGATTTCATTCGTGTTAGACCAAGCGGGCAATTTCTTTCGTACCTCCTGCATCTTTTTGTAATTAGAACTTTTCCATTTATTCTTAAATATTTCTTCTATCAAATTATCTTCTTCAGAAATTTGCTCATAGGAGATATCCCTATTTCTCTTATTGGTACTACCAAGTTCGTAATGACTAGGCACATTCAATTCTTCCTCGTTCTGTTCCTTTGGAAATAATGGCTCAAATTGATGTAAAAATAGCTCTTTATTTTCTTCTAAATAAGCTTTTATCTCGTATTCATTTTCCAATAATGAAATTATCGAAAATATCGAAGGAGTACCTTCGAGAGATAATAACAACGCTTCATTGTGTAGCCGTCTTACTATCCTCAGGCATTTTATACGTGGATATAACCCATCATTTTTATAAAAATATAAATATGGCGGTTCATAAGGATATTTACACTCTACAAACAGAATGAATAAATATTAATGCTTCTATAATTTTATCAAGCAATATTTTTATCATTAAAATATTCTTAATATTGTGATTATATGTAATTCAATTAGTATATTTAATTACATGTTCGTACCTTCAGGAAATCTTATTTCTAGTGTGAAATATGGATCTTCCAAAAATGGTACATTTGATACTTTCTGTGGCAGTTGATGAAGAAATCTGCATTTATCTCCAAATCTGCATTTTTTATGAAGGAAAAGTCTGCACACTTCTTTTTCTTGCTTCTTTTCTTTTGGTTTTTCTGTTTTCTGCTCAATTTCTTTATTATTTGTTAAATAATTTAATTTTATTTGCATAGTCCAAATGCAATGTTTTATTTTTTCATGAAATGCATGACCATAGATTGATTCGAGCGCCTCCCTTTCCTCAGATCGTCTTTCCAATAATTCAGCAGCATCAGGAATTTCAATATCTTTGTTTTTTGGAATGTCCTCAATTCCATAATATTTGCAAAATAACACTTCTAAAGCTTTTCCCAAATTGTTTTGTGCATATATGAAAGCTTGTGTACAATGTGAAGCACAGAAGCTACAAATAAGAAATATATTTTTGAGATCTTACAGAATAAGAAAGACATAATATAATATATACCTATTAAAAAACAAACATTACCCATAGCTCTCTAACTTGGATGTCGCAAACTGCTTCGTTATTTCATCTTGAGTCTTAGGAGTGGTATCCTTAGAAGAATAATCTACTATTCCTTTTACAACCAAATTACCTCGTTCCATCCAGTACTGTTTATCTAAGTTTGAGGTTTTGTTTTGTAATTCTGAAATGTCAGATAATTTGAAATCCTGCAAAATAATTATTGCAATTAAGGAACAAAGATCCATAAAGCATTTATTCATTGCAAACATTATTGCATTGTTTAATAAATAAACATACGTATTTACTTTTCCATAAATATAATTAAGACTATCGTAGAGTTCTTGCTCAGATTGTTGAGACACTTGCAATGTTTGCATTTCCACCTTGAATTTGCTAGATAATGCTGGACCTGCACACCTAGCATCTTTCTCTCTGTTACTTTTTGCATGTGTATTTCTATTATGTACATATAAAAAAAATTTAAGTTTAATTTGATAGCTCTGTGATAAAAGTGTAAAAAAATGTTCATATATTTATCTTACGTGTTTGCCTTGGACGTGCCTTCTAATGTAATATCCTCCATCAATTTTAAACTACGATAATCCATTATTTAATTTAATCGGTTATATTTCTTTTCACTTAAAAAGATCGTTATATTAGGCTATACATAATGTGGTGCAACGTGCAACATTAGGTCTACTATGGTCTACTAATATACTAATGACTCATATATATATATACACAGAATAACAACCATGTGGCACGGCAAAAAGTGGTAGTGTAACCTATCACCTTGAGATATGTATCTATAATTTTCGCAAAAGTATAAGACTCGTATCAGACTATGCATTGCAGATAAAAAATTGTAAGTTGGAGAGTGGAATTTGACCGATCGATTCAAAGCGAGAATCATTTAATTAATAATTACTCGAGTAATAATCATTTTTGATTGACATTAATTAATTGGTTATGTATATGTATATATATAGTTATGATGTGTAACTCGCAATCATTCGCAATTCACAATCTTGGAATTTCGATACGCATGGTGTGATACGAATTTAAGATATCATTAGCAAATAACGCATGCGGTAACCAATCAATTCTTCGCCTTTCTATTCTATTCTTTGATGTGGAATTATACATACGAATATATACCGGTGCATTTATGGGATATAAATAATTGTGTATTAATTATGGCATAGTGTATTCATAATCAAGAATAATTGAGTGATTGAGTGTTTTGGATAGTCTAAAATAACCTATCTTGGACAAAATATAACGTGAATTGTGGGATTTAAGTCACTTTGTTGTTTATAATGTGAGTTTTAAATAAGATTATTTAGTAATTCGATATTTTAATTGTGTAAATCAATATCTTTGATGCAAGTCGTTATTTATCACAATTGCTATTGTGAATTACTATTGTAAGGTTATGTTTCATACAATTCTTGAGAGTATTAAAAGGTTTCTTGTGTTATATTTTGGATATTTTCAATAGAAATGTGGAATATTTTAAGTACTAATTGTGGAATATAGTAATTATTAATTTACAATTTTACCAGAGATAGATATGGCATCATCATGTATGATTTTGCAACGCGGTATTGCAACTTCGTGCGTCTGTCATGGAAAACGGAATTTTCGAAAATTTTTGCTGTACAACAAACGTGGCAGTCGTAATTTTAAAAAGCAACAAGCAGAAAATCCAGATCCTGATATACCAATAGACAGTAAGTTATTGTTTTTAATATCTTATTGTAATAGATTAGTTTAGATGAATATTTATCATTATGACATTTTAAATTCTTTAAACTTAACAAAATAAAATGTAGAAGTGTACTATAAAAAATATAAATAATTTGGAAAGCTATTAGTTAATTAAAAGTTTCAATCTGTTCAATATTGTGCAGTATATACTAATTGATCTTTATAACCAATTTTAGAGAGAGGTGTAAGGGATACTGGATACAAGCTGGATAACAAATGGGTTCATGTACCAGAGATGGTTCCTGAATTAATTGTTCCTTCATTAGAAGGATTTACATTGAAGCCTTATGTTTCGTACAGAGTTGAAAAATTTACACAACCTGAATTTACCGCTCAAGATTTATTTGACATAGTATATGCTAAAAAAATAGAAGAAGACTTTGCAAACGGTCAGTTAAATGAAAATGGAGAGCCATTAAATCCTAGTGAACACGAAAAGCTTACGCCACAACAAGCTAAAGACAATGCTGGAAAAACAGGCTGTGATATTTTTAACCAGATGAAAAAGTAAGTCCTTTAGTATTTATATATGTAATATAAAGTGTAAGTTTTTGTGGGGGTGTGTACCATGTAAAAATAAAGAATCTTTAACATGCCCGCATAAATTTGGGTTTCAATCTGCATATGTTTTATTTTTAGAACTCGCATGTATACATATGTTGACAATTTTGCAATTTACAAAAAGTAACTACTTACTATCGTATATGACTGTTAAAGTGATATTATGTGCGCACTTTACTAAGAGCATGAAAACGGAATTTATTATATTGTATACATATATAAGCGACCATCTCTTTAAATCAGCTTTTTTTAATGACAAATTGTCAATATTGGCAGTCAGTGCTTGATAGCAAATAATTACTTCCGCAAAATGGCTGTAGTCTTTGAACAGATTACATATTATATAAAACGATAGCTTACATATTATAAAACAATAGTATCACATATAATTATCGCAAAATCTTCCGCGAAAATTGTATTGAACTTGCATATTGTTTTGATGGACAAGTGAAATTAATTTATTGCTACTAAAACAACATTTATGTTGTACTGAATTTCTATTTTATGCAATCCGTAGTTCTACGAGTCCAGAAAAGACAGATATGAGAATTCGCACAACAATGTCGAAATTGATTTTTCATTCCTGAGATTCATGGATATTTTGCATCGATGTCCGTTTTGCGGATAATGGATTTCGTTTGTGATTAGGCTAACTTAACAGTTATCTTTTACTTATCAAAAGATTTTTGAGCGAAGTTTGATTGTTTCCTGTCGGGTAAAAAATGGCGAAAAATTTGAATAGTAAAGTCGTTGTCAGTTGTGCGCGGCCGGTATTGCTTACTACTGACTAGATTTCCTAAATTCTAATAATATATATGTATATGTATATATATGTATATTGTTTTTAAAGTGCTGTATTCATATCAAACGTACAAACAGTTTCATAATCATTATTGTTTCTCTTTAAAGTCTCCTAATAATTATAATCATGTAAGAAGCTCATAAAACAGAGCAGTTGAAAATATCCATGTTTAGAAGAAAATCATATTCAGAGTAATGTTCCGTGAATATTCATGAAAGATACTTGTATAAAAGTAGTGCAACTGCTAATGCGATAGCTATAAATGTTTCTAGAAAGAGATAACGTATACAAAATTCGGTTAACTTATCCTTATGTAGGGAATCGAGCTCACATAAATAATTTATTTGAATTATTAGAATATCTCTATACAGAATGCAGCACTTCTTACACATTAGCTACTATTTACTGCTAATATTATTGTTTTCTGTTATTATTTCCTATTTTCTATGGTCATCAATAAGAGCGGAAGAGGAAAACATCTCTAATTTTGTACAATGGAACGCTTATTAAGAAAACGTAACAAAAATCTTTCAACTCGCATCGTATTTCCACTCTTTGATTAAATCAACGGAAAAGCGAAAGTGGCATAGTACTTGTGCGTCGCTATAAAAAGAATTTTTATTCTATTTCAGTCGCTGTTACTCTTCACGTCGTCGATATTTCGTTTTCAAGCCTTATTCTATAACATATTTATATTATCTCATCAACGACTTGAGCATCCGTATTTTTCTCACTCATTGGCAGTACAGATTATCCTCTAAGGATATATTATTGTGTAAATTCGGTGTATTCTGTTATTCGTTTTATACACATGAGCAGTCGCGATAATGAATGAGTCCCCTAAGCCTTCTAAATCTACCCAAATTTGTCAATTAAAAATCCCATTTAACAATACTCATTAATTTTACAATTTTCTCGTATTCTCTATAGCGAATGTTATAAAGCAAGTCATATGCCACCTGCTCTTCAACTAAACTTGGTGTTTCATTTTGTTAATTATCAGTCTATGATATAATTGGATATTTTGACTGGTAGAATCAGTCATTTTAATAAGGCAGGTACATGTGTTACTGTATGACAAAGATTCTCTTGCATGAGAATTTTCTTTTCTACCATACATATGCATTTCGCGTATTTATTCATGCAAATATGCAATACGTATAAATGTACAATAGACGTACAATACGCGTAAAGATCAGTACAATTTTGTGAAACAGCATTTGTAGCAAACGATTTATGTGAAACATTTTCTGGTAAACAATGTTTCAGACCAATAAAAGGGTGCATACTTGCAAATCTTTGGCATTCAGCAACATGTACCATACATCTAATCAGAGATCTTGAGTATGTAAAGAAGTATAGTTATTATAAACGAGTGAATATTACTAAATCCTTCGTATAATACATCTTAACATTTCTCTATCGAAACGCAAAATGATATGCAACTAATAACAGTCACGTGGAAAGACTAGGGAGGGAATACTGCTGAAAAAGTTGATACAATAGTTCAGCTGGCTTTTCATACGCAAGATCTCAAGATAATTACTAACAACGATAAGGGCAGAAGTTTATTCCATTGGATCTCCTACATTTTCGAAGATGGTTGAATGTGGATTGCTGGTAGTGGGCCACAAGAAACCACCTACACTGCCCGGCGGTAAGTATGACGCACCTCCACTAAGGCCCACCTAATATTTTATATTGTATCAGTTATTGAATATTATCTGACATGTAATCTCTTCTCTTTCATACTTTTATATCTATATGCATGGACAAAATGTGCTAAGCGAAATGATATGAAAGCATTGTGGGGTGTAAACACTCTATAACATTTCCTAATGAAGTTTTTTATGTACACTATAAATATGAAAAGAATATTTTTTTACATCAATGCAACGAATCTATTGTGGTACTTTGGAAATATTCACATCTTTGGCACGTAAAAATTATATTCGCGATTCTATAATACATAATTTTCTAAGTAAAGTTTTCCTGATTAGGCATCCTTTTTCTGCTTCAAGTGTAAATTACATTATTATTGACATGGTAATTTTGTATCAAGGATTGGTTCATGCAGGCAAATTAGAATAAAAGATAACTGCCAAATTAAAGAAAAATAATCATTTATTTGCATTTAACATAAATAATTGTGCTAATAAATCGCAGGTACTAAATAACATCGTAGGTACTAAATAACATTATGTACATTGGCTCACTATTGTAAATGTTCAAGGCATTTACAATAATGTCAAGACACTCTCGATATATAAAACCTTATTCTTTACATTAAGTAAACTATGTACAAGAATTTTTCAATGTTATTACGTATTGGTGAATTTACTTCCGTCAAATAGAGAATGTCAAAATCACAGTCCAATTATAAAAAGCGTTCCAGCGGCTGTACATGTCGCTTCAATCATTCCGGCCAATCTATCCTCTATTTTTACGCGGTAACTTCTTTATGACTTTACCTGCTGGCTCCATATTAGCGATCTCTCCGCCAATTGACAGTCCGCTGCCAATCGGGATGGTAGACTCTTCCACCTCTCCTCGTCCCGCTTTCTGTCTCTATCGAAGTCTCTGTCGTGTCCCTGAGAGAGAGGCGGCAAAATCTGCGTTCGTTGCGCCAGCTTGTAGCTATCTTGCCTCGGTACGTGCTCGGTACGTCTACTGCCGCCGCTGGTAGTCGAAACCGGGATCGGAGTCGGACTACCACCACCTCTGTTCCGGTGGTACAAGTTACGCTTTTGTTGGAGCATACGTTGCTGCACTAGAAGCTGCAGCTGCGTGCCCGAGTCGCCACGCATCTTAAACTGCTGCTGATTATCGGGTGGTGTGGACGGCGGTCTAAGGTGGACTAGATCCAAGTGGCCTCGAGCTTTTCCTGAATCTATAAGAGATTATATGCACTGTAAAATTACACCGTAAATCGATGAGGACTTACGAATGTCATCGGGAAGGCTATCTACCTTGAATGCTCCTTTGCTTCGATGGTCTGTCGCTGATACCCTGTTGACAGAACAGCAATCTAGGTCCACCGTCGGACGCTCTGCGTCCCTGTGAGACTCGGGATATTCTACCAGTAATCGGGGATGGACTCTTGGGCGGCGGTGGCGTGCAAGACGGTAGGCTGCTCGTAAAACAATTTGTCCCCGTGTAATCTGGCGGGCAGCCAGAATCGAAGCTGGACTCGAAGAGCTCCGACGATGAGCTACCGCTGCCGCCCGCCATGAACAGGGTCGTTCGACTGGGCGGATCAATAGGATCCATAAGCGGGTTATCAAAATGATGCTGGTAATCGCTTAATCTTCGATTGACTATCTGGCTGTCAATTCGTTGACTGATATCGTGATCTAGGCCTAATCTGTGCTCCTCGAGCTTAATCTGTGCTTCGCGCAGTTCGTCGCCGCTTGGACCTTCTTCTAATTCGCCTTCCGCGCTGCAACAACCTTCATCAGTTGAGGAACTGGTAGAGCTGAATCTCTTACCTCCTCTGCTGGTGTCTTCTCTTCCTCTGAAACAAGGAAAAGATTCATTCTATTAATGTTTGAAGGAATATTAATGATGCTTTTCTACCATGAGCGGTTTCTTGCGATGATTGTGAACAGATGTTTTATACAGCAATGAATTCGGGAAATTCATCTAGCATTCTCCTCATTATTTCTATTAGGATTTGTCTACCGTAATACTTTCTTTACATTACATCATAGAAAATTAACCTTGTTCCTAGTGCAGCACTGTACAGCATATGACTTATTTTGATATGCTATTTATTTTTAAGTTGTTAAATTATTATGAAACAAATATAAAGTATAGTCTTGCAGGGAATTAGATTTTGTTAATGTATGTGCGATAATTAATATGGAAAATAAAAAATCTCTCGGTACAAGCGATATAATTTAAAGAATATGGTTCAAATAATAATGTACATTTATTAATTACAAAGCAAATTAAAATTATGATAGGAAATCGAGGTTCTAGGAGAAAAAAATAAGAAAATGAAATGAAAAGTTACCAAAAATAAAACGACAGCAATGTGCTTCCAATCCAACCTGTCCTGATAAAATCTTCAATATGTGCATCACCCAAAGTCAATAAAGTTCAACGTCCCACTAAGCTATCGCTGTAAATAAAAATTGATTACGTTAAAGCATTATTATTCTTGTGATTTTTCCGACTGGTAGGATTGGAAGTTACAAACTAAACATGAAGTTGCTATTTGCAATAAAATTGTCAAAATAAAATGTACGTGATGGTGCTTAGAAAGAATAAATGTCTACCTTGATTTATATTTATCTTCTTTTGTTCTCGCAGAGGACCAGCAGGCATTATTAATGGTGCTGCTGACACGATGTTGCTTCAATCTTTCCAGCAGTAAGAAATAAATAGCAGCATGATGGTCATAGCTGCTGTTTCGTAAGGACTGTTAAAAAATAACATTTATATTTAGACGATGCGAGCAAAAATCAAAATAATTTATATATGTATATTTGAAATAACAGTACATTTTAAATATTTAATTCGCTAGACAATGCTGTCGTTTATTTCCAGAACAGTATATAATACGAGAATATAAGATTCGAAACTTTTTGAGAATAAATATCGAACGAGTGAATATATTCTTAATTTTACAACGCAGCAATGAAAGAAAGGTTTCCTCACCTCTCTAGTGCGACTGATGTCTATTCCTAAACTGTGCATGAGTCGAAGTATTTGTTCATTTGGTTCTTGTATAGATGACGATGGCCGTGTCACGATCACTGAACAAATGCTGTCCGCTGTTCCCGCCATCCAACGGTGCCTCTTGATTTGTGGAATGGTGTATCGTTTGGAAGGCTCTAATACTAACATCTTGCGTATTAGACTCTCGCAATCTGCAATACAAATTACAAATATTTACAAATACAAATTACAAATTTCGACGCAAATGTTAAATACGCAAGAAAACGTATATTTCAATAAGCACCTGTACTCATAAAGTAAGGAATTCTAAATCTGCCACTTAGCACACGATCTCTTAATGACTGAAGAGTTGATCCATCAAACGGCAATGCACCACATACTAACACATACAACACAACACCCAGGCTCTACAAGAACGAGAATATTTATATCAGATATCACAGATATATTATATTTTTCTTTTATCGCTTCAAGTGCTGAAACTCACCCACACGTCGATTTCCGGTCCAGCGTAGTGCTTTCCGCGGAAAACTTCCGGAGCGGCGTAAGGTGGACTACCGCACCATGTGCTCAATCGTTCTCCCGGGGCGAATCTGTTGCTGAAACCAAAGTCGGCGATTTTTACGTTCATCTGAGCATCGAGAAGCAAGTTTTCCGCCTTTAAATCCCTGTGTGCCACACCCGTCACATGGCAGTACTCGACCGCGGAGAGTATCTGAGCGAATGTCGCACGTGCTCTGGGCTCTGCCATTCTTCCGTATCGCGCTATGTAGTCGAATATCTCGCCCTTGCTCGCGTATTCGCACACCTGTAAACATAACAGCAATACTTAACACACATGATTCATTCAATTCACAACAGCTGATTTCTCGTTATTCTTACCATGTAAATCATGTTCTTCGTTTCCATAACTTGATATAATTTAACGATATGCGGATGCTCTAACTGCTTCATAATTTCGACCTCTCTGTATACTTTTTCTAGATTAGTAGAATCTAATTGAGTTTTGTCAATTATCTTGATAGCCACCTAAAAAAGAATAAATTTGCAATAATATATTCTTCGAGATAGCATCGTTAAACAGATATAATAATAAAAAATGCACGCGCATACCTCTGTTTTTGTTATTCGATGTCTAGCTAGTTTTACAACAGCGAAATTGCCTTTGCCGATGGTTCCTTCGATGTCATAAAATCCAACGCGGATTTGCTTTTTACCCTGTGTAGGTCCAGTATCCATATTTACGGCAATGTTTTTTTCAACTTGCAAATTTTTATTCTTCTCTCAGTAGTGTTGTCACTATATCTATATAATCTGCAAAAAAATCGAAACATGCAATCTTAAAAGAAGAGAAAACATTTCTCTTTTATGAAATTTATACGATCTGATACACATAAAATATTTTTGAATCTTGTGTAAAAAAATTGCACTGAACAAAAATGTATTCTTTAATATTATTAAGTAAAAATAATTGAAAGCACAAGTAATTGTGATGAAAATATAAAAAA